AGTTATTTGGAAGGGGAACCCTGTTAGCAGGAGAAAAAGTCTTCTAGGCATTTGCCTCCTCAGGAAAGTGAGTAAGAAATTGGAAGTTTGCCATCTCCATTGTCTATCCATGACCCCCTTATCTGTCTGCCTGTGAGCAATCTGTCTAACTCCCAGTTCTTTGGAAGCTGAGTCAGTCAATAATCTTGTCATTTCGTAGTCAGTTAACAGTCCTGTGTTCTCTTTTGAAATTTTCATTATGGTAGGACATGAATGAATGCCTCTAACCCCCAAGGATTTCAGTAACCCAAGTTAGGAAGAGGAGTTTCTCCCACCATCATCTCCTTGATCACAGCTAACACTGGGGGCTTCTTCTACTTTTCACTGTGAACTAGAGTCCTTGGAAGGAAGCTGTGTCTGCAAAGATGGATTGAGTCGCACATCAGTAACATGGAGAGGTTGGGATACTACAGGTCCGGAGTCACATTATCTTGGGACATCATTAGTCCCCTTAATAGCCACTCACTGCCCTCCTCTGTTCCTGGTCTTTTGCGACCATTAGGTAAATCCTGATCCGGACCGATGTCTTAAGGACTGTGGACGGAGCCAGCCGTTCAGTCCCGGGTCCATTTCTGAGTGGAGGTGTGTGGACTAGGGAAGTTTAATTACCCAACGACACTAATGATGAAACAGGAAACACCGTATCATCTCAGGAGGGCTCCCAGCTGACGCTGAGCAGCCCCAGTTTATTGAGAGGTCCATTTAAATAGTTCTCTAAGGGCAGGGACAACATCAGGAAGCATTTATCACAATCCATATCGCTAAAATCAAGTGATTCTGTTGCCTAAACAACTCTTGGTCAAGCAGCCTGAGTCTTGAACCCAGGTATGGGCCTACTCAAGGCTTAAGCTACAGAGATGCAAATTAGGAGGCAAATCACCTTCAGCCATGGTAAACAGTTACTGCCTGGTGTTAATAAACAATACAATGGTGATTCAGGGCTCCCTGGCACCACCACTGTTTATCCAGGTCAGCCTGGGCCCAGATCCCAGATTATTCCATAACAGGGATATTCGGTCCCCCACAATGGGCTGTACGTATGCTCTGACATTTCCAATTGGGTCCAGCCAGTGGCAGGCAGCAAGATTCTGTTCCCACGTGGCCGCCCAGTTGCCTCCACTCTGGTTGGCTGCATTCTTCCACTAGAGCCTACAAGTCTTGGTGTTCTTCCCCCGAGTCCTTCCCTCTCATTCAGATAACAGCTTCAGCCCTAGGCAAGATGCAGGCCTTGTGCCACCTCATTTCACTTGCTAGACTCTACTTACATCTTTGTAAATAGCTCCAGCGTTAAGCTCTCCACAGGGCCATGGTTGTTTCCATGTTTTTGATTAATGAGTGTTAGTCCAGACGAGCTGGAGCATGATGAGTATGAGGAAATGGCACATGATGTCACAACTGGGGCGGGGGTGTGAACAGATGATGGAGGGCTTGTCTTCACTGGCCAGGAGAGTCCCGAGACAACAGGAGCCTAGGAAAGCTTTAGACCAAGAGTGGCATACTTTTAAGAAGACCAATTTAGTAGCAGCATACAAAATGATTTAAACAGTGGAGGTGGAGAGATTATAGACAGATTACAAGAAGATAACATATTATCAGATTGGTGAAGATCCAGATGTCTGACAGCATGTTGTGAAGTTAAAGATGGGAAGGTATGCCAGGTGGTGGTGGTGCACGCTTTTAATCCCAGCATCTGGGAGGCAGAGGCAGGTGGATATCTGTGAGTTCGAGTAGTCACTAGGAGGTCAGATGCCTGCCTCGTGGTAAGGAACCAATCAGAAGTTAACTGGTAGTGCTATGCTTTACGGGTCTGGGTGTGCTTTACTGACAAGTGCACAGCAATGACGCACAGGGCATAGCAACCACCTTGGGAGTGCCTATGGGCCATAACAACCAGTTGACCAATCAACACAGGGCAAACCCCTCCAAGCCTGGAGACACACCAATCCTGAGCCATGGTGGATGGATGACAGGCCCGAGCTAACATGGGGTTAGCTCGTTAAACAACTATAATAAAGCCTCATGCTGTTTGCATCAAGCTTTCAACTCCACCTGGTGATTGGGGTGACCGAGGTCCTGGGCTGAGATCCTGGAGGCCTGATTCCGGGGGTCTTACAATGTCACATTCTGGATGCTCATAGCCTGTTGATACAGCAATTTCCATCCTAGGTACTTAGCCTACAGAAGGGCATTGCTGAGTCATTTCTACACAAGGATGTTCATTGACAACTTTTGTTTCGAAACAGGGTTTCTCTATGTAGCTCTGGCTGTCCTGGAACTCTCTGTAGACCAGCTGGCCTTGAACTCAAGAGACCCAACTGCCTCTGCCTTCAAAGGCTGGGATTAAAGGCATGCACCACCATGGCCCTGCTGGTCACCTGCAAGATGTGGGTGTACTCAGGGCTGTTGGCAAGCCATGCCCAGCTTATTGACAACACTAATATTCATTAGATGATGATGAAGTGAATCATAGGTTCCCTGTGTAAATAAACCCACTTGATACATGCAGCCGATTCAGGGGGAAAAAAGGCTATTCAGTTTAGCATATTTATAAATGTATAGACAAAATAAAAAAGAAACACAGGGAGATTAGTTTTATGCTAATCCATTTCCCATTTTTTATTGTATGTATATGAGTGTTTTGCCTGCATATAAGCCCGCACACACTTGCAGGCAATGCCCAAAGAGGCCAGAGGGGGAGATCAAATCCCACCCACCCACCCACCCCAGGACTGGAGTTACAGATGGTTGTAAGCTGCCCTGTGGGTGCTGGGGATCTGGAGTCTCTCTCTAGAGGGAAGACTAGCAATGATTATTATTTTTTATTTAATTTTATTGCTGTTTTTCTTTTCCTAGCAGTCATGTAGATCAAATCGGGCCTACGCAAGGACTCACCTAATGCCAGAAATGTACTAAGTGTAGTGAGCCTTCCTGTAAAAATGACTAGTCTTCAAAGAATTGTAAGGCTATTAGCGCAAGCTACTGGAGTGTTGTCTCCTGCAGTGTATCGGCTTGTAACTGAACGCACATGACTGAGACATTTATGACATCTGTGTCTCTGCTGTCTGTCACAGGCATTGCTTCTGGGTGACTGACACTTGCTGTCCCACCCGAGGGTTAGTGGGTGAGAGAGGGAAAATCTGGCTCACTTCTTACCACGGGTCCTAGCTTCTGCTGTGAGCCCACCTATGCCTTGTCCCTTCAGCCTCTGTCACCCTGTCAGATTTCACTTACCCAAGAAGCTACTTTAAATCCTCTTTTGGAGACAGAACATTTAAATAAATGTGTATGGCATTTCAAGTATCTTAATCCTTTTTTGGTTTTTCGAGACAGGGTTTCTCTGTGTACTTTGGAGGCTGACCTCGAACTCACTCTGCAGACCAGGCTGGTCTCGAACTCACAGAGATCCTACTTCTGCCTCCCTAGTGTTGGGATTAAAGGCATACGACACCAATGCCCGGCATATCTTAATCCTTGAGGAATAATTTTTTTTAAAAAAAATTCATGTTAAAATCTAAAAAAACATGTCCTAAAACTTCCAAGCAGGTACCACAGTGCACACCTTTAATCTCAGCACTGGGGAGATAGCCAGGTGATCTCTGAGAACAGCAAGGGCTCCAGGGCCAGAGTTGCATAGTGAGACCTGTCTCAAAAACACAACACAACAAAAGTTAAGTTTTACATTTAAGAATGCTAGACAGTGGTTTCTAGAGCAGAAGACAGGGTTGTAACTGAGGGTGTTAGAGAAAAATGAGTGGGAAAACTGAGACTCAGCAGGGTGTTCACCTCCACTCCTGTGTGACAGCCAGCAGCAGGACTTAATTTAGCCTGTGTTCAGAGCCTTCCTTCCTACTCCTCACTCAGTACTCAGTCATTCTGCTGTTAAAATGGAGTCCCACTGGGAGTGCAGCCTGTGGCTCCAAATCCCAGCATGTAGAAGACTCAAGTGGGAGGAGCAGTGAGTTCTGAGACCAGCCTACAGAATATCAGACCTGGCTAGCATGGACGCTGGCCTTAAAAAAAAAAAAGATGGGTGGCTCAGAGGTTAAGAGTACCAGCAACCACATGGTGGCTCAGAACCATCTATAATGGGATCTGATGCCCTCTTCCAGCAAGCATACATGCAAACAGAACATCATATACATAAAATACATGAATAAACCTAAGGAAAAAAAAGTCCACACTGGTCTCAAATTCCAGCAGCGCATCATGAGAGCTGTGACTTTACACCAATCACATTTTCTCAAGTGAACCCTGACGCCAACCCTAACTGCTTCATAGGTTCTGAGAGCTTAGTGACGTTAATTGTACAAAAGGTATGTGAGCTGGGTGTTGTGTCAGAGGCAATAGCACATCAGGGCTGCATAGTGAAGCTGTCTCCAAAACAAAACAGAAAGATGGAGGGAGGAGAGGTGGTTGGTACATGTAGTGACTGATTCTGTCTTAAAAGAGTTGGAAGGTTCACCGGGCGTTGGTGTCGAACACCTTTAATCCCAGCACTTGGGAGGCAGAGGCAGGCGAATCTCTGTGAGTTCGAGGCAAGCCTGGTCTCCAGAGCGAGTGCCAGGAATTCAGAGAAACCCTGTTTCGAAACACCAAAAAAAAAAAAAAAAAAAAAGAGTTGGAAGGTTCACATGCCATTTAAAACTTCAGACTAACACAACCCTGGATTCCAAATGCCAGGAAGTCTTCATAGCTCCGCAGAAAAATAGACACGGCAAACCTTAAGTGGGGGAAAAACAGCCCTGTTAATGGAGCTTGTATGGGCTTGCCACTTCCATTTAACTGTCTACTAATAGGAGTTCTCCTGACATCCCTTATTATTGATTGAAGACCTACTTTATCACGCTCTGTGGTCAACTATAAGAACAGCAAATCCCTCAGAGCCCAACCATTCTTCCCCTACTTCTTCAAACTGTCATACTCAAAGGAAGGCAAGCAAATGTCATCGAAGTAGCAAAAGCCCCCGTTACATCTGTCATGAATTTAATGGAACTCACAAGTAGGAAAATTTCAACAATTTCAAGCCCCTAATATCGTAAACATAAACAATGTGACAACTTTAAGTAAACTGAATGGGATGTGGCTGAGTGTGGCTAATGGCTCAGTGCTCAGTCCCACTGGATGTCCCGCTCCTCTTCAGGGAGAATACTCCAGTTCGGGGAGGCCACATTTCGGGCCAGCCAGTTGAAATCGTCAACCTGGTTCCAGTTATTTCTGCTCCTATCTAAACCGGAGTCCTGGAAGTCCTTGTCGATGCCCGGGTAGTTCCAGGTGTAAGGGGCCAACTGGATACCGCTGCAGTCCTCCACGATGGCCCTGCTGGTCACCTGCAAGAAGATTCGGGTGTCTTTGGTAGTGTGTACTCGGAGCTGTTGGCAAGCCACAGCCAGTATGCAATCACGACAGTCCTCCAGGAACACAGAGGTGGACACCGGGCCACAGAGCACCTTGCAGCCGCGGGCCTTGGCCAGCCGTAAGGTGTTGGGGTTGCCACGCAGTCTGACAGTGCAGTTGGTCAGGTCGCTCAAGAGGATGTCGCGCTGGCGGAGCTCGTCGGCTCTCTTCTCCAAGTCCTGGGACTCCAGGTTGGAGAAGCCACAGGCCCAGCTGAGCTCGGGAGCTCCCTCCTCCTTGGTCGAGGGCGGCGCGGGGCTGGCCGAGGCCACAGGAGCGGCGTCGGCCTGGGCGGCCGCGGCAGCGTCCTTCTTCCGCGCCTTGAAGGCGAAGCGCTTCTTGGGCTGCAGCTCCTGGCGCCGCTCGTTGAGCTCAGCCTGCAGCTGCGCCAGCGCCGCCTGGCCCTGCCGCAGGTCGTAGGCCGCGAGGAAC